GCTTTATAATGTTTTTAGATATTGTTGTGCAGACGAATTTAGAAAGAGCTTTAACTTTTTTCAGAATCCATTTCCATTACATGAACAACGATGAAGAAGTCTGGATATTGTCTGGTTACTTTACTTGTTTTGTTAAGTATTGGTAAGTAACCCTCTAATAACATTGCTAAGTTATCATGTAAATATTGATATCATTTGAAAGTCTTATGATCTGTAGACAACACAAATTCCCATGTCGTTTCACAGCAATAAATATAATTGTATTGACTGTTAATAACCTTTTAAAATCCTTTCTTTCTAAAGAGTTTTTTTCTCTATGTAATATTTTCAAATCCAGATACTGTCCAGTCGTTGTCTTTTCCTCCTCTACTTGAACAAAACCTTTACGCATTTATACCTGAGGACCTCGCAAACGGTAACTATTGTCTTAATAAATCCAAATTATAATTAATAAAAAGGTATGTTTTTACAGCATTTAATTGATTAACTTTCTGTTCTAATTCATTGAGGACATGTTTTATATAATGTTGTTATAAACGGTCTATTGAACGGTTCAGAAATCAAAAGATATGAAACCACACACGAATGTAAATTTTATACTGATACTGACAATCATACCATTGTTTTGTTATGTTGAGCACCCAACAAAACAGAAATAAATCTGACAACTCACATAATGTTTATTATGTAACTTCTATACTACAGGATCCCTCATTAGAAGTTTTAATGTCACCGACTCAGACCATGACAACATTAGCCTCGGTATATTTGATGAGTCCACCAGATCAACTGTTTATCTGAACGAGACCAACCATAGACCAGGGTTTGTAACAGGAAATGTCTACCTCATCAATCCTGAAAATATCGACTTTGACAGGGTGAGATATTAAGGTTTTCTGAAAAGAAATATTATTCCAAATCATAAACTGCTATTTTGAATAAGTAACCATTTAATGTGTTGGCATATAACTGATCTCAGATATGTTTATTTACATATTTATATATATCATCAATATCCGTGATTAAGATCAAGATGTTTAGATAACATAATAGACAATTCGCCACTACGATCATGACATGAATGTCCAGCTGAATATCGCTACAACTTGTTACCCAAATATATATCTTCTATTGTATTGTTTTTCCATTTATATATATCAGAATCTAGTATGCAGTATGGTCCAATATTGGGTCTGGATACTAACAAACAAATGTTCGTTGAGTGCATAGTACTAGAATAGATATATCATATCAATGACGTAATAACAACAGTACGGACAAGTGAATTGTCGATGCAATCTGCCCCTTTATCATGGCACAAATATCACATATATTAAATCGCATATAAAGTTATAAATTATATTCGAGAACGGTAGTGAATTCTTTCGGCCCAGGGACGCCGAGACCCTTCATACGGGAGCAATAAACACATTCTAAGTTGTATGGAAGATGGTGATTCAAATATCAAATAGGTTTATATAAATCTCTGAACGTTGTGTACGATAACCAATGAGCGTTTACTTTGCATTGTATTGTTTATTGTCATGAAATAAAATTATCCGCTTTGTGGTGTTTTTGTTTGGAACACTCCAGGGACAAAGTCAACTGAGACTAGCATTTACAGCAAATGATGGACTTAACACGGTACTGTATGCATGACTGGAAATAATTTCACAAATCCGAATTAACGAAAACAGTAATAAAATAAACAATAATAAAAAGGACAATGCTTTCGTGCATAATTACAAAGTTGTATCCTCAGTCAGCTGCCTTTACAACAATTAATAATAGAATATATCGTGCTCGGCTTTCAAAACATTTCCTATACAGATTCTACCGCTGATACGAATCTTGTTGTCATTCAGGTCACAGGGTTCGTACACGTAATATTGAGTGATGTGAATGACAATGCACCCGTGTTCAAGAGACCAGCATATATATATGAAATAGCTGAGGTAATGTATAATGTATCATTTACTGTAATGTTGAATTATAAGGAGAAGTGTCAATCAATCTGGGTCATTCTGCAGCCATTCACTGACAAATCCTATTAATTTTGCCTGCCCATACTTCAAGGTTATCCCTATATCATATGCTACTCAAACATTATTCTCTCTTTGGGCTCTTCAAATTTTCTTAATAGTTTTCTAATGCATATAATTCTAAATTATATTGAAAAGACCTATTCACTTGTGTGTCTTTTGTACAAACTTGATTGCCATGGTCTATTTTGTACATCCTGCATGCCATGTTTTAATTCATTCGAATCTTCAGTTCTGAATATACACATGAACTGTGTATCCTTTGAAATAACCAGATGCACAAAAATTACGAAATTTATTGATGTACGCGACAAGCGCGTCTCGCAAACTAGGATTTATCACTTTTGATTTTCCTTAATTCAGGTTTTAACATTTAGACCGTTAGCATTACTGGCGAGTCTGAAGAGGTCGAAATAGCTTTATGTTTAATTATTAAGCTCTAATAAATATATTTGTTAATTTATATCAAAATGTGTTTCACTTGAGTCTCATGCACAATCGTTATGACCTCAAATGTTGATTTTGATAACATTATCAAAATCCGCATGTTATTCATAGTAACATAATTTATGACATTTCTATTTCTATAACAAATTGCTTTACAAAATACAACTTCATTAAAACATGGATGTCTTTACTCTGGATAGTGGAAGTGTTTCCCAGTTTACCTCCCTTACCTGTGAACTTGTTTAACTTGCACTGATGAATAGTTTAGGTGATGAATTCACATGTTCACGCTAGGAGGACAATCTTACAGCTGTCTAATATTTAAAAAAGGAAAATAGATATACAATAAGAATAGCTTAACAAAATGATAATAAACTTAACAGATTAAACTCTTTGATTCTTATTACACATGCCAATTTATTCATACATCTTTCAAAATGTAAACACATTGTATGTTCAAATTTGGTTGTTTACTCGTATATCGGTATTTTTTTCAAGCACCAGAAACCCAGTTGCATGGACGAAAATCAACAAGGATATACCATAATATCAACATGATTATACTTAAAACTCAAATTCAATAAACTAGGGCAAAATATTAACAAATATGGACGTAAAAAGAAACAGAATATTTGTCAATGAGATCATTATGACGACCGTAAAACGTCCCCGTCAACCTGCATCTTTTGAAACCATCTGTTACGAGGTTGTCCGTAAGTTCACGACTTCTTGCACGAACATCGTGATAATGGAAACAGACCGAATCAACTGTGTCATGTAAACATCATATCGTGTTGGGTATGCAGGAATATTGCAAAAAGGAAATGGGAAACTCATTATAGGGAAATTGAAATCATCACGCTTATCATACAGCTTGGCGGAAATCTATCTGTATTAGTTTCATTGTATGAAAAAATCGAGATAAGCCACTGATGTCTGTTGATTTCCAAGTCTGGTGGGTGTATACGGTGGGATTAGTCAATACATTTCTTATTATTTAAAAACGGGATGTCAGCAATATATTTCAGAGTGAAAGTAAACAATTTTGCAAGGTCTTTTTTCACTTGTTTGGATAAGCTCTTATTAATTCGGCCTCGTGTGAAAACAAAAAAACTGGTCGGCCATCAGAAGGGCAAAATTAGTTACCAGAGGTATGCTAGTCTGTTTGAAGATCTTACAACCAAATTTGACGAATAGGTTGTAAACAAAAATTGATTTATTCAAGATGTTGTCCTCCGTATATTCACGGAATACGCTTCAGCATAGTTCACAACCATACATTTGTACCGCCGTCTATATTTCTTGGAAAAGAAAGCTCCTATAACAAGAGAGCAAAGAGGAATACATTATCCCACCACTAATTGCAGCTAAACATCTTTTGAATATGAGTTTAACTTTACGTGTAAATATATCATCAGGAACGTTTTTGATACAACAGAGACAAATGTCACACTAAGAATGTGAGAAGAAATCGGTTTCCTTCATTGGTAATCCAACTAACACAACTCATTAAAAGAAGTATGGATTAAAGTCAAGCCAAAATATTCAAAAATTGAACAAATATTTGAGATATCGTGTTTATTTTTGTTTTATATATAGTCAGTTCTTTTGAAAATACCATACTTTAAGAATTAAATCTAAAAACACATCCAGCCTCAAAGTAGTACTTGGTAATCCTCTGACTGACTACATATCATAACATTTCCAGCAAAACTAATATGTATAGAAGACTATCAAAGTTACTTAAACTGAAAAATTATCTCTCCTCCACATGAAAATCATAAAGGGCAAACAGATAGCCATGTGGAAACATCGACACATTCTCATCAAAATGTCACAATTGCATTGTCAAACTATATACAGTATTGTTGGAAACATATATTTCTTATCTTATCTTATCGGCTTTGTCCATGGATCAGTAAAATAGACATACAATAGTTTACGGAATGATTTTGGTAGATTTAATGTTTTAAGTGAAATAGTCGCACATTACATCTTTAATCAACTTTCTGTATGAAATCACTTGTCTGGTATTTATTCATAATGGTATGTATATGGCAGTCTTATATGTAACTTCATTAGGACACCTGGATCACGTCTTCTGTTTGATAGTTGACATACTTTAAGTTGATACCTTACACGACGAACGACTGTTAGAGTAAATTATTATCTTAGGATATGATTTGGTTGAGAACAGCTTGCTCGAGCTGTAATGCGATAATGGTGCCAGGGTTGAATGTTTGCTGTGCAAGATTTTCACAATTAGGACAATAAAATAGTTTGCACTTCATATGTGTGAATGAGTGATATGCACAGGAAATATTTGTTTCACAATGTGAACCAGATTGATGATAAAGAAACCACTGTGTTTACATGTGACTTCACATCTTAAAAAGACAAATTTGTAGTGACATCAGCACACTGATGACTATCAAGTATTCACGGAATAAACTATGAATTAAGAAAAAAAAACTCGCGGTACTTAACTCTCACGTGAAAGAATGATGAGATATATAATTTATATAATTGATATCGCTCCGTCAGAATGATTTCTGTTTTTGGTTATTAATCACTCTTGTTAATCTTTTATTTACATTTGCAGAATACATATTATCCAACAACACACGATGCCAGTATTTCAGCAACCGATGCCGATGATGGTGTGAACAAGAATTTTAAATTTAAATTAAATGTAAGTATAACACAGATATACTGGTTAATCGATTTTCAGAAGAATTTTGTTTATCTAAAATATCTTGATATTAATTCTAAAACGTTCTTAAAATTCTTCACCAATGAAAATATCCTCTGACTAGACACGATGCAAATTGTTATCAATGATGTTGGAAACCAGTCATTCAGCTGATCCCCGTGGCCAGCTTCTTATTACTTATGATTCAATATCTTGATATTATATTCTAAAAAGTTCTTAAAATTGTTAACCAATGAAAATATCCTCTGAATAGACGCAATGCAAAATGTTATCAATGATGTTGGAAACCAGTGGCTCGCTAACAGAGACGCAGTCAGCTTGTAGAGAGATATAGGTACCGGTCACTCTTGTAGAGAGAAACGATATATCGTGGCCAGCTTCTTATTACTTATGATCCAGAATAGCAAAAACATTATGGAGATATTTCATTAGTATGTCACAAATAACTTGATACTACTATCGGGTACCAGTGTCTCGCGAACAGTGACGCGGTATGGGTTGTAGAGAGAAACGGGTACCAGTAGCTCGCGAACAGTGGCGCGGTATGGGTTGTAGAGAGAAACGATATATCGAAAATGTACAGGGTTCAAGCATGGTAGCGTGCTACAAATCTTTTCATCCCAGAAGCTATGAAGAATGGACAGGAATTCTCAATGTCGAAAAGCGAAACTTGTTCAGATAAAGACTTTTCAATGGACATTAGTTTTAATAAATGTAACTAATGTTGAATTCCAATGTCAAACAACAATTGTTGAAATTATTCAACGGGCAAACGGACAGTTATTGCTGTATACATTTATATAGATTAAAAATAAATCGACTGACAACATTAATACTCTATACCGTATATCGCTTTATTTACAGGCGACAGGTCAGGTGAGTTTGCACTTTTAAAATAATTTTTGCATAGAAAGATAAATCAGTTTCACAGGAAAAACCATACTTAAGTTATTGTTTTGATATAATTTTCTTCCCATTTTATCATGAATAACACATCTTGTACAGTCAGAAAACAGTAAATACAAATCTACTGATAATTCAAAATGAACTTTAAAACGAAGTGGCTACTTCAGATCTGCAACAGCATCTCTTAGCAGATGATGTTGAGTTATATTTTGCAGACGATTTTTGCATCGTTATGCCTTCAGCAAAAACTGACTACAAAATAGAAAGTCGTTTGTTTGTATTATGAATCATATTTGCAGTCGCCGGAATTATATGAAGGCGTCTTCACCATCAATCCTAACAACGGTATCCTTACTCTTACCGAACCGCTTGATTATGAGACACTGAGTTTTTATCAGTATACTATATCGGCTGTGGTAAGTATGACGAAGAACTGATGTGTTAAACAGGCTTTGAAAGTCGATATTGATTTCGGATACTTATGTTTTCAATGATGTAAGGAAGAATTATTGATGGAATCATTTCTAAATTCATTTCGCTATTTCTAGATT